CCTGGCCAGCTGAGAGCCTGCTCTCCTACGCCTGTAGGAGCACTGCCTTTACAGCCTGGGACATTGCCCAGGGTTTAGGAGTCACAGCCTCACCAGCAGGCTGTGCTGTGTCAGCCAAAACAACAGAGCTTCCTGGCTGTCTTCACAGTCCTGCACTCTTTCATGATGTTCTCTTTATATTCAGAAGAGGGAGATAAAAGACTAAGATGTATTAAGTACCAGTTATTTTGCAAGGAATCAAGCTTGGCATCATATGCATTGTTTAATCTTCCTAACAAATCTATGAGATAAGTTTTATTATCCCTATAGTACCCCAGAGGAAACACGCACAGAGCATTTTATTTCTTTTGGAGTCAGGAAGCAGTTAGGGGAAAGCCAGAATTCAGACTTAGTTCTGACTCCAAACCCATTACATCATGTCATTTCAGCACTGTCTCTTTTCACTCTGTATCAGATTGTACTGTTTGGAATGTTTAAGTGTCTGTATTACTCATGTCCACATGGCATTATTCTGGCTAATATATAATAGTTTTGAATACAGCTATATTAGTTTTGATTCTGCTGTAACATAAAATAGTTCATGCCATTATGGATGTATAAAAAAATTATGTTCTTCAAACAAGGTGGTCAGAAGGTGCACACTGAATTTTCTGAAATGTTGAAAACCTAACATAAAGTGTAAACCAAAGAGTATTTTTAATCATTAATTATTCATTTTTTCCTATAAAACTAGGAGAGGAAAAACTAAAATATGTAAGAAGTAGCAGGTGTCAACTTTTATTTAACTTTGTGGTGTGATCTTTGCATGTCACCTCGTTTAACTTGCACAAACTCTTTTGTGTATATTAGAGGAGAGAGGTGCTTTCTCTGCCTTGTCCCATTTTGTGTCCTTGGCTTAAGGGGATGAATCACTGTCTCTAGAGGCTGTAGCCTCCAACTCTTTTCTGTGCAATTAAAGTATAGAACAGTGTTAGTACCATTTGCTGCATGCTAAAGAGAATTCTCTCTTAATTGGCCTTCTACTGTAGGCCACACTTCTAAATGTGTCACTTACTAATGATAATGAGAATAATAACTGCCAAATATTGGAGAAGGCTATGTGGCAAGAATTCTGCTTGATAGTTTATCAATTTTGTTGGTCATTTCTACTAAAACTTAATGGATAGCTTTATTTTCCCTGTTACACAGATGAGAAACTCATGCTATTTATCTAGCAAGTAGAAGAATGAGGATGCAAACTCAAATTTTCTGACTCCAAGCCTTAGCTGCTCTTGTTTCCTTGATGAGTATGCAACACCCCTACTGTGTGTGTCCAAGTAAAGAATCTTTCCTTGCTTTCCTTGAGCTTCCTAGGGGCTCTGAAAGGCAAATTTGAGACCAGAAAGAGTTTGTATTTTATTGATGTAGTTTTCATTTTCTAAAAATATTTCAGTTTTTTATATACAAAGACTGCAAAATTTTATTTGTGCTTAAGGGATTTGTCTGTATATTAAAGAAGTAGTGAAGAAATTTAGAATAGGAATTTTTGTATAATTTAGTGTAGCCTTTTCTATTACAAATGGATTCAGGTATTTATGTTTTTTTTATCTTCAGGTATTTATATTTTTCCCATCTAAGTTTTATAATGTATAGCTTTTTAGAGTACTAAAGTAGCAGTGTACAATATTTTGGTAATTCTATATTTTCATGCTTGAAAAACATACTATATAGTGATTGTTTTCATATTCAGTGATTCTTACAACCTAGTAAAGTTGAGGGACCAAGAAGTTCTGTTATATCATTTAACATATGTGCAAACTGAGGCTCTGCTCTCTTGACTAGTAAGTAAAAGCATAGACAGATGGGCTCACTTGTCCCCCGTGTGTGCTGATTTTCCAGTGACACACCTTTTTTGGATTAGTATCTCTAGCATGATTTAACAACGCAGTTACTTTTTTCTGGATTCTGTGTATTTGATGAATTTTTCTCTTCTAGTCTTAAGAGATTTTCTTTCTTTCTTTTTGATGTTATAGGATAAAAGTGGACCAAAATGTTCATAAATAATGCCCAGATAACTGGGTCGCCAAAAGGAAAAGAAAATTATTAGCCATACATTTCATATCATATATAAGAATAGATTCAAAAAAAAGATTCCAAATGGACTAGGATTTAAGTGGGGGGGGGGAGAGAGAGAGAGAGAGAATATTAAGAATTACTCAAGCACTAGAATAAAACATGAGTGAATTTTGCTTTAACCTTGGGTGTTATAGGAAGAAACTTTCTAACCATGCCTCAAAACCTAAAAGCAATGATAAAAGATTGGTAAATTTCACTGCATAAAGAGTTTTAAAACTTTTTGCATGACAAACAGGTCACCAACAAAATCAAATGACAACTGACAAACCATGAGAAAGTATTTGTAACTTATACCACAGACATAGGACTATTATCTCAAAAAAAATAAGAGACAAAAACACCCAAAACCTGATAGAAAGATTGGGAAAAGACTTGACAAAACAATTAACAAAGGTAAAAAAAAAAAATTGCCCTTCAGATGTATGTTTTTTTTTAATGTTCACGTGCTCTTAATTAGAAAAATGCACACTAAAACAATGGTGAGAGTCTATTTTTTACCTATCAAAATAGGGATGCAGATATCTCATACGTTGCTGGTAGGGATGCAAATTGGGATACTTCTTTTCAAGGAAGGATTTTGAAACATTCTTATTTCCTAAATCTTAAGAGATCCTTGAAGTGATAGCACCCCAGTAGCAATGAACACACCACACTCTCAGATTGTAGTTTCTAAACACCATTTTCCTACAAAAGGAATTAGGGGTCCTTAAAGAAGTGATTAATTTTAAGATTTAGCAGAGAATATATAAGCCTACAACAAGCCAGAAAGTCTGGGTATGATCAAAAAAGGATGAGGAATTGTTGAAAGAACTTAAGAGCCAATCTGAAGTTGCTCATAATTGCCAAAACAGAAACATTTTGACCAAGAAGTTAAATGATAATAGAATTGAGGTTTTGCCCGTTACAATAAAATAAATATTCATGAATTCATACTAATGTAAAAGTCAAATAAACAAATGAGAAAGAAGGGATGCTTCCTACTTACAAAAGAATTCCGGTTAATACATGTAGCCAGCAAAGGGGTGATAGAAAATGACCATTCAATAAATACCACAGAATATTGCTGACAAGATCCATGGTTGCCAAAAGTATTGGGAAAGTTTTTGAGAAAGAATGGAATATTTACATGGACTCAGTCAGGGCTGGAGTCATGCAAAGACTTGACCTGGAGCTTGTAGGAGCTGCTTCCAGATGCTCACTCATATGTCTGTTGTTGGAGGCCTCATTTCCTCTCAGGCTGCTGGAGTGCCTTCATGACATGGGAATTGTTTTCCAGAATAAGTGGAAAACAGAGCAAGGAAAGAAAGGATAAAATTAGGCTCTGAAATCACACCCATCATTTCTGCCTGATTCTGTTAGATCTTGTAAAACTACACACTGGGAAAGGACATCTCTAGCCTGTTGCTTAGGAATTCCTTTTCCCAAAGAGTTGCCACTTTCTTTTTGTTGCTTGTTGCTGGTGCTCCCAGTCTTGGTTCCTTTTTGTAAGGGATGCAGTGCTCATCCTAGGCAGAAGTATTGTAATAGAATCAGCTGTAGAAAGGAGGGGATGAGGTTGATCTTTCCCAGCCCGACCCTCAGCTCTTCCTTAACTCAGCCTTTTATTACCCTCCTCCCACTCTGTGTAGTAAATTGTTCAGGACCATCTCTGAGCCACAAGACTTTAGACAAGTCTTTCTAATAGCAATGATCATATTGTATCCTAGTGATCATGTTTAATGTCTTTGTTTCCTTTTACTAATGTGGCATTTGTTCTATATTCCCAAGGCCAACTATAGTGACTGAAGGATCCTTAATGGATAAATGGATTATCTTTTGAAATATAAATGAATCTAAGAACCTCATTTAATTTTTGGGCCTTTGTCTTTCCTAAACCTTGGAAAGACAAGGAGGAAGAGATCTCCTTCAGCCTATTTTCTGTTTTCCCAAGCAGCCCTGCTACCTTTGGGAAATTTGAGTTCTGCCTCTTTCTGGCACATCTGTTTCTATCTAAGGGCTTCTCATTCTAGGTACATTACCATAATTATTCAATGACACCTGTTAAAGCACAATAAAGTAGGTTTCATGCAGGACCATTAAAATGAGTACAGGGACATTGCAATGGGGTCTTGCAGTAGGGGAGAGAGATGGAGCTAACTCAGAATTGCACAGGCAAGTGGGAATTTAGAACCAAGGATCAGGTTGGGGGTCAGTGGATTGAAAATTAATAAGAATGTCAAAAGTCTCTGGCTTAACCCACCTAACAAGATTCTTGGTAAAAGCAGACCAGGGTGATCAGACATCACCTGGGAAATAGTGAAGAATGATGAATTGGATCAGATATTGGATAGTGCAGTCTAGGGTGGTTCTTGCTAAATGGACTAAGAAAAGTTCTTTGTTAAAATTGGATTTTATAAGGAAGTGCACAGATAGACCTACCAGAATGTTCAAGGACTTGACTAAAGTCTGACTAAGCAAAGAATTTTTGACAAGGAGCAGAAGCAGATTTGTTTAGGCTGACCCATAAACTTACTTCTATAACATTTTCTACAGAAGAAAATGAAAATAAATGACCCACCGCAAACTTATTCTTAAATTGAAATTGTCTATAAAATGTCACTGAAGTTTTACATGGGAAAGGAATTTACTTATGATCTAGTCCTAGTGATTTCATTTACAGTTTAAGAAATCAAAGGCTAAATTGGTTAAGTAATTTTTCTATACCTATGTTTTCTGATGTATACTCTAATATCACAGATAGCATAACTTGGTGAGTTTGAAATCTACATTTTTCTCTTCCAGAAGAGAAATTGTTGAATATTTCTAATATTACATATTAAATTATATATTTCATATAATAATGATGTACATTTAAAGGAATTATAATTCTTTCCTTTTTAATCCAGATTTAGGTCGATCTCGAGAACTGCAATACGTATATGTGGATAACAACATTCACCTGAAGGGCTTGCCATCTTACCTGTACAATAAAGTCATCGGGTGCAGTGGGTAAGGCTGACTTCACATTTTGGACTTAAAAAGAGATGAATTACTTTTGGTAATTCTGTTTGGTTTTCTTTATCCTTCATATACTAAATCAAATATCCTTATATATTAGGTGAGCAGTTTAGAATATGATATGTTGGATTCAATTAATAAGCTGTTATGTTCAATAAGTAAATGAAAAATGAATCCACACTTGCTTTTTTTGCTATGAAAATAAGCAGTTTTGTTTTTTCCACCTTTATTAAGATTCAGTTGGCAAATGAAATTGCATATATTTAAGTGTGTGACATAATTTGATACACATATACATTGCCACATATGCCATTATAAACTCAGACCCAGCAAGTGGAGGAATCAGCATTGAGTTAAAAATTTTTCTCTCTGAACTCCATTGTAATGGCAATTTTACTGTAGTGACAACCCTAGCATTTAGGGTATTACCAATTGGAAATATTTAGAATTCAATATTTGAAATAGTCCTTCAATACAAAGCATGATTCTAGAAACGAGAACAGGTGTTTAATTTCTTGGGAAATGATAGTCTTTTATATTCAGGGCAGCAATAATCTTTTCGTCTCTGTCAGGATTTGAAGAGGACTTCAGCTACTCCTTCTGCAGCAGTGGGACAGAACCACCTTAAAGTGCTTTCCAGGGTGGTCTAGGATCCAGAGAACCACTCCACTGCCAGAACCCACTTAGTACTGGTCTTACTTTCCCCACTCAGTGGAAAAGGAACACCTCTGAGACTACTTAACCAGCATGTTTGACTCTTCCCTTCTAATTCCCAGCATTCAGCATAACCTAGCTTATACATCATGGAGTTCTGGCAAGGAAAGGGATGACAATAAGCATATACATAGGGGACAGCCATTCCCTGTTGACCTGACTCCAGGGAATAATAGTGAACCAGGATTGCTCCAGAGAAAGCAGTGTCAGGAGAAGTGCTCTTCCCATAGGAAAAGTTATATATTTTTTATCTTGGGAAAGCTCTAGATGAGTTCAGTGCCTATATAGGCTGATGAAATCCAAGCTGAGAGATTTATTCTAGAACCTTCTGCGAAGCAAAACTGGTGTAGTTTTGGGTCAGTGTTTTTTCTACATCTGATTTTGTCATAGTTACTATACTACACAGTCATTAAACCCAGTGAGTTCTTAAAGGATTTTTACTATAATTCTTCTATGTGGTGAGCAAAGTGTCCTCCATCATCATGGTGCATAGAATGATGCAAGCACACACCAAAGCTCATGGCCCTTTTTCCCATACCGAAATCTTTAGAGACTACGCCGAAATGTGATTTAAGTCTCTACCGTAATTAAGGAATAGCTTTTGTTTAAGGTGAAGATTGCCTTCTACTTTGATGTTTACTAATAGATATCACTGACTACCACAAAATTCTGTTTGTGCTGAAAAGACTGAGTTTTTCATCTTTGATTTGGTATATGGTAGCACTGGTAGTGAATTTTAGGAGAGTTCCAAATCTTTAAGGAGACAAATAGTAGGGGAAAATCAAGTATTAACTAATTTTTATTAAGAGCTTATCTTGTTAACAGTAATAAAAATAAAATTATTAATAGGATAGTATGAAACAACCAAATTTCTAATATTAGTAGTATTAGGATATATGCAGACTCACTTCCAAATGGATTGTTATTCAAAAGATATTTGTAGTCTGTTAGCTTAATGCAATATGCAGAATGCATTTTTCAGTTTTGGTCATTACATTCTTAAGCAGGTTCACTAAAAGTTCATTTAACCTATTTTGCAATGAAATAATTATACAATATTTTTATAACCAAATGTATTCAGAATTTTAGTGGGAACACTGAAGTCTTAACAACAGAATTAAGGATCCCCTTTTTTTCTGTCTTTTCTGTTATATCTTAACAACCGAATTAAGGGTCCCCTTTTTTTCTATCTTTTCTATCTGTTGTATATATGAAAAGAGACTCTCCCATTCCAAGTCAAAGTGGTAGTTCTTAATAAGCCTTGGGAAGCAATAGAGCAAGATTGTGAGGGAAGCATACTACGAATATTTGAGGCCTACAAAATGCATTTGTTCATTCAGTGAACATTTGTGGAGCAGTTTCTCTATGGGTCATTGTGCTAAATAATGGCCATGCAGTAGTGAGCAAAATAGTGCATTGCCTGCCCTCCTGGACATTACCATCTCGCTACGGAGCCAAATGAATAATAAATAATTAAAGAAACTTGGTACTAGATGATATTTAAGCTGAGACCTAAAGGGACAGCTTGAATGTAAGAAAATTGGGACAACAGTGCTAAATGAACACAGCTTTGGGTCTGTGGGAAATGAAAGCCTGATAAGTGAATGAATACACGCTCACAAATATGCATATTCTATTAACAAAGTATATATATAAAGATTTTTATAATTATTTATGTATGTGCATTTAAAAATATATATTAAATTCATATCTCAGAGAATAGAGAGAGAATGGCGTTTAAAATGTTTTAGTGGTCATAAAAATAGCAAATAACCAATGATGCAGTTTCAAGAAATCTCAGAAGTCTCATAAAACTATATTTGGTATTATGGAATTGTGAACAAAGTTAGCTCCTCCTTATGTCTATTTGCTAGATTATTATTGAGCCCTAACTAGCAAATCAACACCTCACTAGGAGTTATAGGAAAGGCAAAGATAATTTAGATGTTTACCCTGACAAAAATAACTATAATACAAATAATAAATATCTTGAGAGAGGTAGAGCAATAGAAGTTTTGAGCATGGAATTGGTATTTGTGACTTAGCCTCAAAACCATCCATCATCAATTCTGTTACATCCTGTGATTACACAGGTCCACTGTCTTCATGGTGGGAGGGGAGGCAGGGAGCACCATCAGGAGCCCATATAGAGAGTGGTTTTCACAGCTTCATTGCATCTGTGCTTTATGACTTTTATTTTCTCTGGGTTTTACTTGTCATTACTGAAGGAGTAAATGTCTTCAGCTTTTCTACTTTGTACCCAGAAAGAGAAATGCATCCCTTGTTAGAATTTTAGAGAGTGGTAATTGGCACATTTGTGTACTCAGGGGAACTTAATGGTTAAAGTGATCCTATACAATGATCCTATTTTTCCAGTTATCTCTTTGTATGAGAAAAAGAAAAATCAAGCTCCTACTTTGCCTTTCCTGTGTAAATGATCAATTATAATGGTTGGGAGCAATTTGACCTTCTAAAGACTTGTTAATATAACCACTCAAGGTAATAGAATTATTTGAATATGAATTATGTACTCTGAGCTAAACCAGTAGATTTAAAATGTCCATTAGAGCTGAGGACAGTGGCGCACACTTGTAATCCCAGCAATTTAGGAAGCCAAGGCAGGAGGATCACAAGTTCAAGGCCAATTTTGGTAACTTAGCAGACCCTGTCTCAAAATAAAAAGGGCTGGGGATGTAACCCAGTGGTAAATCACCCTGAGGCTCATTCCCCAGGACGACAACAACAATAACAACAAAATAATGCCTTTTAGATCATAGTCCATTTTTCTGTGGGAGCTGCCTGCACTCCAGAAACCATCAATATTAGATATCTGAACCACAGCCCCACAGGCCCTGGCTGCATATGACAGAAGAAGAGTGTGATTTGAGCTGCCACTCAGGAGACAGAGTCTGCAGTTTGACTCCCAACAAAATTAATTACTTGCTAAAGCAAAAATACTAATATTCCTTTTAAGAGTTAGAAGGATATAAAAACCCACTCTACATAGTTTAATTTTCATAATGTTCAGGATACAACCAACCCAAAATTACAGAACACATAAAGAACCAGGAAAAATATGACCCATTATCAAGAGAGATCAGCAGAGAACAACCTGAGATGACCCAAGATGTTGGAAATGAAAGAAAGATTGGAAAGTAACTATTAAAATTTTTTTCAATGAAGTAAAGAAAAATAAGTTTGTAATGAATGAAAAGGCCACAAAATAGAAATTATGAAAAAGAAAAGAAAGTTTTAGAGTTGAAAATACATTATCTCATATAAAATACTTACTTGATGGGATTAATAGCAGAATGTGTATACATAAACACGAAAGGTCAGTGAACATGGAAGTAGATCAGTAGAAATTATGCAATCTCAGGAACACAAAGAAAAAACAGACTGGAAACAGAAGTGAATACCAGGTCTGGGACATGCTAGACAGTATTAAAAAGACAACTATATGTATAGTTTTCATTCTAAAAGGAGAATAGGGAGGCAATGAGCCAACAATGTAAAAAATACTTAATAAAATAATGTCTCAAAATGTCCTAAGTTTGGTGAAATACATAAATTTATATTTTCAAGAAGCCCAGAGAACCCTAAGTAGGATAAATACAAACTCATGCCTAGGTAAAGCTGCTGAAAATGAAAATAAAAAGGAAATTTTAAAAGCAACTAGAGAAAAAATGACACATTACTTATAAAGGACCAAATCAAGATTCTTAACCTCTCATTAGTAAACCTCGGGGTCCCGGAAACAGTGGAACAACATATCTGAAGTGCTAAAGGAAAAAAAAAATAGTCAAAGTGGTATTATGTATCCAGAAAAATATCCAAGAATGAAGGCAAGCCCAGTGCAGTGAGGCATGCCTGTAGTCACAGCAATTTGGGAGTTTGAGGTAGGAGAATCAAGTTTAAGGTCAGCCTCAGCAAGTTGGTGAGATCCTAAAGCAATTTAGTGAGACTCTGTCTGGAAATAAAACACTTTTATTTCCAGGGCTGGGGATGTGGTCAGTTGTAATGCATTTAGTCCCCAGTATTAAAAAAAATGGTGGCAAAGCACATGATCAGATAGGACAAAATTTAATCCAAAGAAGCTCTGCTCAATTAAGACTCTTCATTCAGAACAAGAGTTATTCTTTATAAGTAGCTTAGTTTTTTTAATCCTTCTTCATCTCCATCTCCCCCCTTTTTCTCCTACTTTAAATTGGGGGGAAAAAAAACTGTTCACTGAAAAGGAGGAGGTTAAATCTGTAGCAGTTTCCACACTAATGAGC